TAACTTATTTTCAATTTTTAAGCATTTTGTATGGTTTTAGTGCCTTGCTTATACTGTCTGTGTATTCCTGATTGTACTATATTTTGTTTGTCCCCCTCTCATATGTAATACCTTGGAGCCTCTAGGGTACAAAAATAAATAAATAAATACATGAAATTAAGAAACACGTTCCAAACGCGTTTTCCTCACCACGAGACGCGAGGAGGGTGAGGTTTTTATGTTAGAAGTGTTTCCCAAAGCATCTACCAAGGACGGTTGCTGCTTCACTGCCACGAATAACCCTTGCTATTTTTTGGACCACCGGTGCGGAAACCGTAACTTTCTCAGTGAAGGATTTGAAATGATGTCATGGAAAAGGAAATGATTTTTCACCTCTTTGAGGCAGTTTGCAAAAAGCGACTTCATTTGTATTTAAGCTAAAAAAAACATAAAGTAACGAGTAAAGTGATTTGAAAAACGATAGGCTGAAATACTAACGCAAATGCTTTACTCGATAGTCATTGAAACAAGTAAGAAGCGCTTTAGCAGTGCGTTACTTAGAAAAGTAATGCGCTACAAGTAACGCCGTTACCTGTAACGCGTTACTTAAAGAAAAGATACTGCAACAATGTAAACCACCAAATCATCATCGTGTCAACACGTGTCCAAATAGGCTATCTCGTTTTTCTGCAAGAACAGAACTTTGACTTCCGGAGTTAATTTCCTTCTGTGTATTTATTTCATATGCCTCCAACAATTCCCTAGCTGTCTCATCAGTTCCTTTACCAATGATTGTGATGCTGCCGAAAAGAGGACAACAAAAACAAGTGCCGTAGCGCAGGGGCCGACGACACCCCGACCTCCCCCCCCCCCCCCCCCCCCCTTCTTCCCCCCCGCAGTTGATCGAAGCGACCAATCACGCTTCCGTGCTCTATCCTTAATGCACCGTCCCGTTTTTATAATGTAGGACGTCCAACATTGGAAAAACGGGCCGCTGCATTAGTGATAACGCAAGTTGTTTATGTCACCCTCTTTTCGACAACATCACTATCATTGGAAAAGGAGCTTGTAATACAATTGGAGAATTATTAGGGTCATATGAAATAAATAACTAGAAAGAAAACAACTGCGTAAGGCAAACTTCTGTTCACTAGCACAAAGAGGAAATAGTCTACTTGACAAGTGTTGACATGATGGGGATTTGGTGGCCTACTTCGTTGGGAGTGTCTCAATAAATATTTAGTGGTCAGCCAGAGCTCGTCGTGCTTACGTCTTTCCCGTTTTCGTAGTTTTGCTCGCTCTTTCATATATTGCTTGTCACGAGACCAAATCGAATGCTCACGCAATGCTCGTGTCTACATTTTGAGCCGCATTTAATTATCGTCACCATGGGTATCGCAAAGCTTGATGGAAAAATCCCAAGGATCGCGTTGTTGACAATGCCAACGATACAATACCCGTGACTTTGTAATCGAGCTTTACGAAAAAGAGACTAAAAGAAAACGTCCCTTTTATCCTTGAAATAAAACCGCAGCAAAGAAGCTTCATGATCAGTGCGAGTATACTTGGGTTCCATAGGCCAGTATTGTTGAAAGCGAAAAACATTTATACCCAATATAGCGTTGCACGGCACCTTTAAAGAAATGATGCCGCCTTTAAAACGGCGCAGCAAACGACCACATATAATACAATAGTCGGACAGTTCAGCACCAGTGACCTGTGTTCGAAACCAGTCTCTCCTCGAGAAAGAAAGTGGACTTTATCCATAATCTTTCCCAGCGCGAGAGAACGCAGGAAGCACCGCATACGGCAAACTTTTATCGTTGCCGCTTGCACGGTTGTTGCAGGTCGAAGTCTCATCGCTTTACTGGCACTCCTAAAAAAAAAAAATCTGAGTTGTGACAGAGCTGATAAGTCAGTGTTCGGGGGGAGGGTACCAATGAGGTTAGTAACGTGCCCCTTATCGTCTCCGTGCTGATTGTGAGCCGGGTCTCTGCGAGATGCGAGCAAGACACATAGCATCAGAGGCCCGCAGTCCCAGGATGCGAATGCGGGTTGCGGTCCCAGAAATGCTGGGAATGCGGGTCCCAGGATGCGGGTTGAAGCCATTGGAGAATTTGAAACCTGCTTCGCTGGGTCCTGGTGAGGCGGGAACCCAGCGACTGACCCGACAGGAGCACGGCGCCTCCTTATATAGGCTCCGGCCCCCTGGCGGCGACCCCGCTCGTCCCCACGGTTAATGTGCGGTGGAGGCGAGAGGGGCCGTCGGCCGGGTTCTGGTCGGTAGGGACCCACCCAACCCACCCCTTTTTATTCAGCATTATTACAGTCGCTGCAAGCGCTTCTTGTGGCGAAAGGGTATGTCCATGACCACGTGTTAAAGCCTGGTAGACCGCCTGGTTGTCGGTGAGGACTCGGGTTCTTGGTGGCGCCAACAGCAAGGCCAGCAAAACAGCCCAGAGTTCCCGGAGGTAAATGGGTGTCGGCTGGCCGGTGATGACGGCGACATTGCCTTGGGGTAGGCAGATCCCAATGCCCGTGGAGCTGGCGTCCGCGTATACATCACGCTCAATGGGCACAGTGTCAAAAGGAACAGTTACCGGCAGGGACTGCACAACACTTTCAAAGAGGTGGAGCCAGGAAAGAGGGGGGTGGGCGCCAGTAGCAGCGGCCACATGGAGAGGGCGTAAGGCATGAAAATGGGATGCATACAAAGAAAAGTAAAAACCCCAAAAACCAGCTGCTCGCTGGTATACTTTCTGGGTTTGGGGCTGATGTAATGCACGCAAAACCAGGAGAAGGTCCTGTCGACGGGAGGGTGTGTGACCAATAGTGCCAGATGTTCCATCAAGAAGAAAACCTAGGAACTTAACCTGTCTGGCAGGACGAAACATAGAGTCACTGGGGTTCAAACGAACGCCTGCTTCTGAAAGTTGCGCAAGAAAAATGTCTAACTGTGTTTTCAGGAAAACTGGGTCTGGGTGGGCAAACAAAAAATTGTCAAGGTGTGACCATGCCCATAAACCACGGGCTCTTGCCTCGCGTGCGAGGGCAGTTGCAAAGGCCTGCATAAAAAAGGGGGCTGGCCTAATGCCAAAAGGCAAAACTGTGTACCGGTAATAACGTCCATCAAGCCGAAACGCCGTCAAAGCACGAGTGGCAGGGGCTAACCCGAAGTGATAAAATGCATCGCGTAAGTCGAACTTCACAAAAAACGGGGCTGCCGGCAAAGGGCAGGCCTTAAGGGCCTGCGGAAGTGGCGGCAAGCGAAACTTGGGGCTGGGCAAGGATGAAGTTAAATGTGAACAATCGAGCACGAAACGGGATGCTGTGGGGGTCTTCGGTACCAGCTGAATAGGTGACAAAAAAGGGCCGCGTTTTGTTTCCTCAATTATGCCGGAGGCAAGCATGGAGGCCACCGCCAGCCGGAGCACAGGAAGTTGGTCCGGGTGGGGGTGGCGACCATTAAACACAGAACTCTTTCGCGCAAAAAAGTTCAGTTGGGATGGGTCAAAGGGGGGGTTAAACCCGAAGGTTTCGGCGACAAAGTCCCATCTGACCTTGGGAATGGGCTCACTGGGTCGGACGGGAGGATGCGGCGGTAGGAGCGGGAAGGCCGCTGGGCGCCGGCTGTCGTCGTCGCCGTCGTCGGCTTGGTCCTGATCTGGTGGGGGATGTGGCTGATGGCGTTGAAGCCATTTGGTAAAAAAAAAAATGAAAGCCGCTTACAACTCCCTGTAACGCCGAATTAGAGCGCAGCTCTTGAGGAGGAGGAGGGAAGGGCACTGCGGGGGGGGGGGTTAAACTAACCAGGGGGGGTCACGTGACCTTGGGGGTCACGTGAGCCCCAATGCCGATGACGTCATCACTGACGTCACTGATGACGTCATCAGTGACGATGACGATGCGGGTACCGATGACGTCATTAGTGACGTCACTGATGACTTCACCAGTGATGATGACGATGACGATGCGAATGTCGGTGACGTCATCAGTGACGTCGCTGATGACGTCATCAGTGATGATGACGATGACGATGCGGATGTCGGTAACGTCATCAGTGATGTTGACGATGACGATGCGGATGCCGGTGACGTCATCAGTGATGATGACGATGACGATGTGGATGCCGGTGACGTCATCAGTGATGATGACGATGCCGATGTGGATGCCGGCGACGTCATCAGTGATGATGACGATGACGATGTGGATGCCGGTGACGTCATCAGTGATGATGACGATGACGATGTGGATGCCGGTGACGTCATCAGTGATGATGACGATGACGATATGGATGCCGGTGACGTCATCAGTGATGATGACGATGACGATGTGGATGCCAGTGACGTCATCAGTGATGATGACGATGACGAGTGGATGCCGATGACATCAGTGATGATGACGATGACGATGTGGATGCCGGTGACGTCATCAGTGATGATGACGATGACGATGTGGATGCCGGTGACGTCATCAGTGATGATGACGATGACGATGCGGATGCCGGTGACGTCATCAGTGATGATGACGATGACGATGTGGATGCCGATGACGTCATCAGTGATGATGACGATGACGATGTGGATGCCGGTGACCATCAGTGACGGTGACGTCATCGGGGGTCACGCGACATCGGCGGGGGTCACGTGACCTCGAGGAGGGGGTCACGTGACCTCAGGGGAGTCACGTGACTTCGGGGGGTCACGTGACCCCCCCACGAGATCACGTGACCCCGGTGGGGGGCTCGCGCGGTGCATTATGGGACATTTCCCATGATGCACCGCGCGGTTACGCCGACGGCGACGGCGACGGCGACGGCGACGCCGCTCAAGCCGGAAACGGGCCCCTAAGAGCTGCGCTCTAAAAAAATCTGAGTTGTAACAGAGCTGATAAGTCAATGTTCGGGGGGAGGGTACCAATGAGGTTAGTAACGTGCCCCTTATCGTCTCCGTGCTGATTGTGAGCCGGGTCTCTGCGAGATGCGAGCAAGACACATAGCATCAGAGGCCCGCAGTCCCAGGATGCCGCCAACGTTTGTACCACTGTCCACAGAATTGATACCAGGTCTGGACTGGAGGCCGTTATGTTTCGAGCATCCCCTTCCCCTCGACAGGCTGTGCCATGTTTGTGGAGTGCTGTGCAAGGAAACGGTCGTGCTGCCTTGTTCCCACACCCCTTGCGACGTCTGCTTCGAGGGCAGCCTTGACCTGGGTTGCGTATGTCCACTGGACCGAGAGAACTTCGACAAAAATGCGGTGGACAAGCTGAAGTTACCACCGGGACAGTTGCTGAAACTGAGCGTGTCTTGCTGGAATTCTGCACACGGCTGCAACTTCATCGGGCCCGTCTCCGAACTCTTGGATCACTTCGATAAAGAATGCCTTTACCACAGGGCTTCTTGCCCTAGGTGTCATCAGGACGTGCCACGGCTGGGCGTTGTGCAGCACTGCGTCCAATGCTACGACCCTAAACAAGGCGCGGAAGCTCCGTTGCAAAGTCCGACACTGCAGGGAGTACAGTTACGTGAAGACTTGGAGAAGGCCAGTGCGGAAATTAAGCAGTCTATTGCTGAACTTAAGGACGGCTACTACGTGCTGCAAGCCAGTGTCAACACCGTCGCGAATAAAGTCAATCTGGGACATTCAGTAGCAAGTCGAGCAGTTACTGAATCCGCGTCCGGCCTCCTGCAACAGCTTCAGAAGACGCACCCAGATATGACCAAACTGGGAAGAGAGTTACGTGGAACTTTTGAGAACACCACAGCCGATATCAAGCAGTCCATCTCTGAACTCAAAGATGGCTACTGTAGGCTGCACGATAGTGTAAACGCAGTCGCGGATAAGCTTGGGCATTCAGTAGAAGATCAAGAAATTGTTGAAACCATGTCGAGCCTCCTCGCGCAGCTCCAGAAGATTCAGCCAGATGCCATCCATCGGGAAGGACAATTACTTGAAGACTTGAGGAGGTCTTGTGCTGAGATCAAGCAGTCCATTGCTGATCTCAAAAACGACTTCTCCAGGCCGCAGACCAGTATCGGCGCATTCAAGGATGACGTGAAACTCGAGCACTCGGAAAAAAGGCAAGTGATGGCTGAAGATGTCTGACACACAGTTTCAGCCTCTCAGAATGTGGGTTTAGACGATCTAAACCTTGAGTCCGGAAGAAGTAAAATGACGGACATGTGAGCTCTTTTCTTTCTCCGTGTCTCAGGGTTTAGATCATGATCCTTTTAACCAGCTCGCATGCATACTTTCGCTTCTTGCAGACTTTCGACCGTGAATGTCACTTGACTATACTGGAGGAAAAGTTTCTTTAGCAGTCGGCGTTTTCAGATGCACAAGCTGCTGCAGAGCTTGCTGATCTGGTTAATTTTGCGCTCGCTGTGTCCATGTTAGTAAACTAGTGCACCGGTCAAAATCTGCCGAAATCAGAGGAAAAACGACACGTGACCCCACACTTTAGAAATGGTGTGTTCACGGGTACTCCTTTGAGAAGAGCCAAACGATGTACCATGTGACCTTCTAGGGGGAGCCATCTGATTCTCCTAAATGAAGTTATAATGATACTCTCCCTTTATGGGCGTTGATTTAGCACTTCATTTAAGTCCTCCCGGGGCTCCACTGACTCCAAGGCATTAACGTGACTCCCGATAATAGGGGTGATATAAAACACCCACTACGACTTCCAGGACACGATTCCGAAATGTTGTGGTTTTCTCTAACACCACGAAAGTCACAGGACTAATACCGTATTAATAGAAGGCCGGTTTTTAACCCCTTAGGGACTCAGCGGACACCTTCGTATTAACGTTCTCTTAAGCCCCCTGCGGGGCACCATGAAACTCAGAAAACTCCCACCCTTGAAGGTGTCCATTGGCATCCTTTTGTGTACCAAGGATTTCCATGACTCCGCTTTTTATAGGTATTCGCTGACAATTACATGACCAAACATGGAGTCGTTTGTGCTTATGACATTTGCTTCACAAGATAGTTCCTTTTTTTCCAGAGGAGGCCCGTTTATGGATCAAATACCCCTAAAGAAGAGCTCACAGCTCAGAAATTGCACGTATTCATCTCTCCTTCAATTCCTCTCCCTATGAAAACGCGCGTTCTCTTCCTAACTGAACGCTGATTGTAGCTGCGCGCGTTCTCTCCACATCTCGAAGATGCCACAGAAAGTTGTACCCGAGCATAAGTTTAATTCGGACTTCGTAGCAGACGGTGCATTTTGTTTTTCTTTCTTTTGCGAGAATGGCTATCGTTCCCTCACTCGATTCTAGCTCGACTGTGTTTGTAACGGAAGGGTAACTTTTAACATCGCCGAATGGGAAAAAGACAACCACGAAGTAACGCGAATTTGAAGAAACAAATTAGTGCTTATATATGCCTGAATTGTAGCCAATACTTGCCACGTTTTTAGCGCTATCAGTTCGCCGTCACTCGTAGTCGTCATAAGTAAAATACCATTTCGTTCCCCTACTAAAAAAAATGAGGATAATTGAAGGGCAAAGAGTTAACCTGAAAGCATGGATCTAGCAAGCTACTCTACAGGAGGTTTAGATAGAAAGAAAAAGATTGGAAAGACGAAATTACATGGCTAATGGAGCAACTACACCGATGAGATGATCAAAGCGGCATTATCTCACACCTATTTGTGCGAGTCTTGCGTCTCACGAAAATGTAATCAATGCGTGTGTTGCTTTTGCGGAGAATCGAATAGAGTCCCAGCCACCGAGATCATTCTCGGCGGTAAATGAAGCATCATCCGTGGTTGACACTGTCGTCTCAAGTGCCTGTGTATCGGTGGCGTGAAGAGTACGTACTCTTGCCAGGGGGCGTAATCGTCCATGCCTTTGAGGTCATTTGATATCAAACTCCTTTTTTAAAGAAAGCGCCCTGCTGAAAAATAACTAACATGTGCACCTATACGGCCCATATTCCAAATTTATCATATGAAAAACCCATGAGAAAAAAATTTCTTGAGAAAATTAAGCACTGCATTTTTCGGTTTGTAAGTCGCACCCTTCTATAAACGGCCATTTTTGCATAAAACAAGAAGTTGGCACAAGTCGCACTTGTATATCTGTACGGTCAGAGTGGCAAAACTACATAGGCAGGTCCGCATATGTGTATTGCGATCGCGATATGGGCTCAAGTGGCAGCCAGTTTCAATATTCTCGCCAGCGAATGCAACGAGATATAAAAACCCCGTGGCTAACTTGGGCAATTAAGGTTCCTACTCGTAGAGAAAAAAAAAAAACTCCTGTAAATCATGCCGTCTTATAGGCAGCGTTGGAGGTAACGGGTTACTAGTAACGACGTTACTGGTAACGCGTTACACTTTTCGCTAACGCAGTAACGTACTCGTTAGTATTCTGAATGACTAACGAGTAAAGTATTTCCGTTACTTTTTTTACGGAATCGGCTGTCAAATTTCGTTACTCGTTACTTTTGACCAAAACTGGTGAAATTCTGCACGAGCTTGTCTCAAAATCCTGCACCAGCTTATCGCTGCACGGAACCAGCATCCGTCACAGCAAAGTAAAAAAAAAAAAAAAAAAAAACTTACTTTTCGGAGGCGAAAAAAGCCTTCGGCTACCAGCTAATTCCGTTCATCCTCCTTTTTCTTTCTTTTTTTTTGTAGAGTCACCGCTTACAAAGCTTGAACGAACGACTACGTTACAGCCTCCTCCCCTCCCTCCTCGTCCCCCCCCCCTGCTTTGTGCAGCAGAAGTGGACAGCGGGGGGGGGGGGGGGGAGCGGTGGAGAGACATCTGTTTACAACAGTGGACAACTAGTGGCGATGCGCGATTTGCTCGTTTCTCTTAGGGAGCCTTCATGTGCGCTTGAAGGCACCCTAGTTTTTCTAGTTACAAAAAAAAAAGAAACATCCTTTGTGGAATATTTTTACCCTCGCTCCCCCCCCCCCCCCCCCCTCTTCGTTGCCTGAGAGTTCCTGACCCACTTTTGTACACCGAAGAATTTTTCGCTTGGTTAGTCTTTAATTCCCTAAAGTCATGATAAAAAAATTACCGTAATATCCCGAGTCATCGCCCATCCCCGAGCCATCGCCCACCCCATTTTTTGGGCCAATATCGATTTCCGAAAAAACACCGAGTCATCGCCCACCCCTTCAAATACCCCAGCGCGGACTCTGCGATCCGCGAACACTCATCCTACCCGAATGACGCGGCCGCGGACGTTACAGTTGGAGGACGTCCGTGACAAAGTAAAACGAAGGAGGGAAAGACACTTCTTTTTGTTTACGCATTTCCTCCGTGAGTGACCCCAAAGTGGTCGTGTATCCGTGCGAAAAGAAAACGATGGAGATAACAAAATAAGAGTTTGTTAACGTAACCGCGGAGTGTTCGGTCAAAGTCTGTCTCCGCCGAAGTAAGGTCACCGCGAACCCGCTCCTTCTTCCCGCCCGTCGCGACCGCGGTTGTGCCATATTTTAGGCAAAGCCAAAGCGTAAATAAAGCTTTGCTGGAACGTCCTACACAGACGTTTGCAGAGCGTCCCAACCGTGCATTAATAGCCCGCCGTGCACGGACGCACGTATGTACGCACCAAACAAGAAAGTTGCGCAAGAGCTTGCAATTGACAAGGCGCCCGACTTGGCCCGACGCCAAAGTATTTGCCAACGCGACCGCCGGCTTTCCCGCTTCCCCAGCATTGCTCTTGGTCGCTTCATTGGTCCGCTCGCTCGCTCGCTCGCTTGTTGCGCCTGGTCGGTTTTTCTATTTTCTTGTAGACTTTTCTTTCTTTTTTTTTTTACTAACAGAACATAATGGTCACATTCTTTCACGGAACAAACGTTCGTGCTATATGCAGATCGGCGGTGTTTCTAGCGCGTATGCAAGCATCGGACTTCGCTATAGTAAAATATTCTTTCGTGAGCATTTTTTTCTATAAAACAATGAAACTAAATCGAGTTTTGAGTTTGATGTATCTCTTGTGCATCATCGCTAGATACGCAGAGAAAAATAGGCGGTTTTTTTTCGCTTTTTTTCAAGTGTTTGGGCTCACCCACCGAGACATGGCCCACCCCACTTTTTTAAAGAATTTCAGCGGTTGGGGGTGGGCGATGACTCGGGATATTACGGTAAAAAAAAAAAAAAGTTTTAAACCTGGAAAGAAAACTTAAAGACACGAAACCTTTCTTTTTTTTTTCACAGAAAAACTAAGAGCTACTGCTGGTAAGAGGCAGCAAGTGATTATAGCCAGTGTGCTGGTAACCGGTGTCCTGTTCCAGATAGAGAAGTAAATCAGTCTCTGGTAATAGTACGAACCGGACTGTTACTAAAACCGGCGTACAGATGAGGGGTGTTGGTTGGCTGGTTGTGTTCCAGCAGTCCTCGTTCGCATGCTGTAGTTTATAAAAGCCGATTGACTAACACCTCCGACTCATTCTGCGCGTGAGATGGACATGAATAACAAAATTCCGTCGCCATGGCCAGCAGGTCTGAATGAAATGTATCAACTAAAGGAGACAATAATCAGGTAATTTACAGTTTCAATGCCTAATCTGCATGCCGAAAATTAAGCGGCTTCGCGCATCAAAACACTATGAAACCATTCTGTAAATTTTTATCTCTATCCGAGCTTGTTAAGGAGGCTTATCATACATCTCTGCCAAACATATGTACTCGAACAGAAAAGTAACGTAAAAGTAAGTTTCGTTATTTTTGAAAAGTAACGGTAACGGTATATCGTTACATTTGTAAAAGAGTAACGTAGCTCGATAACGCGTTACTTTTTACCAAACTAACGAGTAACGCTATTTCGTTACTTTTTTTCGGTAACGGGCACAACACTGCTTATAGGACACACTGAAGTAGATTTTTAAAGAAGAAAGCTCGACTAATATTCCTGAAAATAAATTAGTCTTATCAGTGGACTGCTTTTAAATATTATGCTCGGGTCTTCGGTTTTAGAGATCGCAAAATCTGTTGAAATCCTAGGTGCTATTTTTACTAGAACTGATTCCTCGAATGAACACGTGAAGTATATTCGCGTAAAAAATTTTAAACTCTTGGAATTATATGCAAAACTCGCCATGTGTTCCCTGAGCGAGTGA